AGGGCCGAAATGCTCAGCGCGTTCTCTCTCTCTCTCTCTCTCTCTCTCTCTCTGGACCCTCTTGGGCGCGTCATGCAGGATTTATGTAGGACTTTTACTGCACTGCAATGGAGATGAGCTCCTTCATGGTCCCCCAACAGGACCGATGTGCTCAACGCCGCATTCCTTTATCAAATGGGAATGGATCGTCGGAATAAATCATGGTAGATGGGTGACTGCCCTGGGTGGAAATATCTAAGGTAGGCCCAAGGGTGTATGGATCCACCGCCAACAGTTTTCAAGGGGGAGGGTGTGAGAGATTCTCATAATGGGTACTCAAATTAAATTAAATTAATTAAAGATTTACAACAAAGGGACAAACTATAGAGCTATCTAGATGAAAAAGGCCAAGCTGGGAGACTTCTGGGCAAAATAAAGTTATCTCAAACAAAGTTGGGGCAATAAATAAAATGTTGTATTAGGAAAGTTGTCGACGCGGAGCAATAGGGATGATAGATTTACACAATTTCCTAGGGAAAGTTGTCGAAGCCAGAGCAAACAGAATGATGGATTTACACAATTTCCTATAAATAAACCGACCTCAAATAATCTGCCGCAAGCAAGGCTTATACTAATGTTATCTGGATGAAGGGCCCCAAGCTTAGACTTCAAGGCAAAATAAGCAAGTCACAAAAAACAGAGGGTGAAATGGCAAAGGCCGCCTTCGCAACGGCAAAGCCGAAGGAAGTCAAAACCTAGAACAGCACTTGAACACACCCTGGACAGGAGAGAACAGGACAGGGCGTGGTAGCGTAGTTGGTTGAAGATCTTGGGTAGCGAGGAATTCGGTTCGGTCAGCCCCTCTTCCATACTCGCCAGCTGGTGGTGTTAGTTTGATGCCCCAAGGAGCATGGCAACCAAGCAACATCTATAACAACCTAACAGCCTCAACTACAAGACCGAGGCATTCCAATCTGCTTCGAGGAAGTTGGCTTGCCTGGCTAACAGTGGGACTATGCTGGCTTGGCTACCGCTAGCGATGGAGGCGCGTGCAGCTGGGAGGTTGTGCTCGTGCTGGCTTGCCTGGATAGCTCTCGCGCTGGCTTGGATTGTTTGCGTTTGTGCTAGCTTGGATGGTTTGCGCTTGTGCTGACTTGGATGGCTCACACTCACTGGCTTGGCTGGCTCGAGTTCGCACTCCCTCCCTACCATCTTAACCTGGACACAAGGTACGTACCTTGTAGAACGAATTTCAGGTGCAACATTCCTAAGGCTAGTGGAACCAAAAAAAAAAAAAAAAAGTATATAGTCAATATTCGTAATTATATTACAAATAGAACACAGTTGACCACTATCAGGATGGGGCCGGAGCTAGTTCTGAAAAAAAAAAAAAAAAAAAAAAAACATTTGACTGCGCTGCGTGCTCACTATCCGGTAGTTCGGTTTGTGTGTGTGTGTGTGTGCAAGAGATAGAGAGAGAGCATTGTGCCCGTGTGTGGAAACAGGTGCGTGGACAGCGCCCGTGTGTGGAAACAGGTGTGTGGACAGCATGCGTGCAAGAGAGAGAGAGAGAGAGCATTGCGCCCGTGTGTGGAAGCAGGTGCGTGGACAGCGCACGCCAGAGAGAGAGAGAGAGAGAGCTTAGTGCCCAAATGCATGGACAACCCACACCAGAGAGAGAGAGAGAGAGAGAGAGAGAGAGAGAGAGAGAGAGANAGAGAGAGAGCATTGCGCCCGTGTGTGGAAGCAGGTGCGTGGACAGCGCACGCCAGAGAGAGAGAGAGAGAGAGCTTAGTGCCCAAATGCATGGACAACCCACACCAGAGAGAGAGAGAGAGAGAGAGAGAGAGAGAGAGAGAGAGAGAGAGAGAGAGAGAGAGAGAGAGAGAGAGAGAGAGAGAGAGAGTTACATGACAGTTACAAGGCACACCTGGAATACAAGGTATGCAGTTCTACGCACCTTGTATTCCAGGGTACCTTCTATTCAAAAATTTAACAGTGATTTCTTAGAACCCATTTTTCGGAGGTAAACTTGAATAAGGCATGTACGATGGTTTTGGCTTAAGACGCTACCGATGGCGCACTTAATCTCCATCCGGCAATAGGTAAATTGCTCTCGCTAGCGATGGTCGGCTCACTCTTGCCCACAGGACTGCCACATCCATCTTCCTGTCACACCATTTGTCAAAGACATTCCCGCACAAAACTGGGGGACTCAACCAGCATATGGAAGGTTGCTATGGGGCATTATTACAGGCACATGGACCTTTCATCGACCGGAGAAACATACGTGGGTGAAGTCAATAGGCAGTGGGTGAGAGACGTCAGCGACACAACGGGCAAAGATCATTATCCTCCACAGCAGCAGTGGCATCTGACTAGGGCAGCATCAATCAACATCACCGCCCCCCAGGGCAGCAACGTCAATAACGTCAATCAACATCCAGGGTGAGGGAGGCTAGTCAAGTTCACCATCATCGTCGTCGTCTTCATCCTCAAATGAGCGCACTTGGTATCTCACCTCTTTTCGCTCAACATCCCTCTCTCCTCCTCCTTTCCCTCCACCTCCACATCCTTTACTCTCCTCCCTTTCTCCTGTCCTCACTCTCTGCCTATTTCCTCTCATCACTCTTTGTCTCTGCTTTCCGCCCCTTTCCTCTGGCGGGGGAAGAAGAGGGAGTGGGGTGAAGACAGGGTGGAGGATCAAAGAGAGTGGGAGGGAGTGGGGCGTGTAGGAGGAGGGTGTGAAAGAGGGGGTGAAGGAGAAGAGGTAGTCAGCGAGCGAGTTGGAACTAAGGGTTCCTGGGAGGAAATGGGCAGGGGGAAGGGGCGGGTTGTTGCTCGCGTTTCTATTAATTCTGCAATGTGGTCTGTGCTCATTTGATTTTCTACGTTCTATTCTACGTTCTAGTATATTCTTCATATATCTGATAACATTCACAATGTAGGTTAACTTGGGAACGACTGAAGCTCTCCAAGGGTGTTCGAGTACTGGAAGAGTACTAGAACTCGGTCACAGATTTAGTAGGGGGCGCTGCTAGCGGATGAGATCCTAGAATGATTGACGGATGGATGGACGAATGGAGAGCGCTGAATGATTGACGGATGGATGGACGGATGGAGGGCGCTGCACACCTCTACTGTGGGAAGAACTCAATAAAAAAAAATAATACTAATAAAAAAAACATAAACAACCCAATCTTTGCCTCAACCAACGGGAGCTCCATTCGGCTGTTACCAAAAAAGTCAAATTGCAACACACAAAAAAAAAAGCAGCTGCCACCTTTCTCCGGAAAAATGATCACAAGCATGGACGCCGTACCCCAAACGAAAGCCCAGGCGTGGATATCTATTTTAAGACCTTTGGACACCTGGATGCCCTCTCTTTCAAAATTCGGATGAGATAACTAGTGAGAATTTCAGAAATGACGTCCTTCGAGCACTTTGTGCAGACATACAAATATCTTGCCTCGTGCCCGTTGAGCACCTCGTGCAGACATACAAATATCTTGACTCGTGCCTCCTGTTTCCCCCCATTCACATCCCCCCCCCACCAAGCTGGTTGACACATTTAATGCCTCACTAGCCACCACTGGTCCTTATGCCAACAGGCAAACATTCTGCCTGCCCCTCTAACACGCCTGTCCACTAATTTGAATGGCTCACAAGCCACCAGAGGTCTACTATCTCAGGAACGTCCAGCCCTCAGGACAGGACCACCACAAGATCTGGCCAGAGACCTCAGAACAGGACCACCACAAGATCTGGCCAGAGATCTGCCCTGGCCGAACCTCCCATCCCGCTATGGCTGCAAATGGAAACAAAAAATAAAATAAAAAATTTGCCTCCACCATCAAACCACCACTACCGCGCCAAAAAAAACATCAGAACAGAAAACAAACCGGTCCAAAAAAATTCGGAGGCTCAGGGCTACCAGACCAAAATGGCTGGGCACAGCCACTGTCCAGCAAACCGTCCATACGAGATGACGAGGGGACGGCCCCATCACTCCACGTTGGTTGAAGTGGGTGGGAAAGGGTTGGTTCTTTGCGACTAGGGATCCAAAGGAGGGGAGGGACAACCTCCCAACCTCCCCTCCTCCCCTCCTGCAGATTAAGGACGCCATCACGATAGCCTGCCCTCGGCAACTAACGACAGGACCGATGATAAAAATCGTGAAAACTGAGTGGTGGGGCTTATACAGGAAAATACTGCTTCCCTATAACAGTGTAACAGCTGGTGGCTTGCCAATATGAGTACGCAAAACTTAACCTGCGAACCCCAACCACCAGGAACCTCATGGCCTCAGCTCACTCAGCCGACTCAGCGGAAGTGAACAATTAGATCGGACGAGTCACCGGTCCCGGCCAGTGAATGTAACAGTAGTGGGGGATTCTGACAACAAGTGGTTTTGGTTTACACAATAGATAACACCAATATGCTGTCTCTTTTTACCCATGGCCATGGAGCTGGCTGAAGAGATGAAGAACAAGCTGCTGAATCTGTCCACACGGTGAAGGAGGGACATAAAACCTGCCACAAGATACTCCCTACCGGCCAAGTTGCAAAGGACGGACCGCGAAAAGAGTCCCCTCCAGTGACAGGATTTGGAAACGCACTGAAGAGGGTTGTTTTGGTATTAAAAAAAAAAAAGAAAAAAAAAAGGGTTGTTTTGAAGGAAAAAAGAAAAGAAAAAGAAGGATTTGAAAAACATTACCGGGTCAAGATACACCACACCCATCTGATGCCAACCTTGCACAAGGCTTTGCGGTGACAAATTGTGTGCAGATGCCCTCCCGACTCCAGACGGGATTGCCAGCAGAGCCTCTCCCCCGCCTACCAGTTATCCCCTCCCGCGAGAGAGCAACCGTTGAGCACCGTCTCCTAGCATGCCCAACGTAGAGCCTCATCCCCACCTACCAGTTCCCCGCTCCCACGAGAACAGCAACCGTTGAGCAACATCTCCTAGCATGCCTAACGGAGAGCCTCACGCCCCCCTCCCACGAGGGCAACCAGTGAACACAGTCTCCAAGCATACCCGGCGGAGAGCCTTACCCCCACCTACCAGAGCAACCGTTGGGCATAGTCTCCCAGCTTGGCCAACGGATAGCCTCACCCCCACCTACCACTTCTCCCCTCCCACGAGGGCAACCGTTGAGCACTGTCGCCGAACATACCCGTCGGTGTCCCAAATTTGGTTACAGTAGGGACCAGCTTGGAGGGTGGCACCTGGGAGACAGTTCCCCTGGTTTATTTCGAGCAATACACGACACGTCGCAGTGGACAGCCGGTGACAGCAACCTATTTGAAACCACCACCAGGCATGAAATCCAGATGGCGGCTTAGCAGGTAAGGTCCTATAAGAAGGCTGTACTAGTCTGACCTGCAGGCACGGAGCCACATTGCTGATTTCGTAAAGTCCAATACTGTTGCCACAGGGGAACCAACTAAGGGGAACAAGACGAAAAGACAGAGGATGAACAACTCAACCGGAGGAGAAGACCCAGGACGCGAAGCACAAACAAATTCCAGGAAGAAAAGCGGTCCTCAGAATCATCTAGCCTGGAGAACAAATGGAGAGAACGAGCACACACCTGGACGTACGATCCACCCACCTGCTTCTCTTTACCTCCCTCTTCACCCACCCCCCATTCATCCTCTCTCCCAAACCACGCACAGGCCTCCCTCGCCTTCAACTCCCCATCCACTCCCTTCCACCTACCTCTCTCCCAACCCATGCACAGCTGCTCTTCCTCCCCCCGCAAAATGGACTAGTTACAGGCACACAACAGTAGGGGGAAGAGGATGGCTATAAGGAACATAGTGGGAACAGGGCAAGTGGATGATTGCTGGGGACACTCACAGAAGACAGGATGTGTGACTAATCAAGATGGGAATGCCGTTCTGTTAAACCACCACCACCTTTCAAGCTGGTAGACCCACTTGGAAGACCTCCATTTCCACTACTAAATGAATAGGCATCTGCAAGTGGCCACCGGCCCACTTGAAAGACCTGTAGCGGAATGGAAGACCTGTATTTCAACTAAATGAATAGGCATCCGCAAGTGCACCACCGGCCCACTAGAAAGACCTGTATTTCCACTAAATACCAGTCCGACAGCTTTGGCACAGTTTCCACTCAGACACAGAAATCATCAGGGCGAAGAGAGTCAGTTTCCAGAGAGCAGAAGTAACACAAACTTCACCCTAATAGAGTTCTGGCCACGAAAGAAAAAACCCGATTACATCAGCCACCTTATTTCAGGAAGAAGCCCGATTACATCAGTCACCATATTTCAGGAAGAAGCCCGACTATATCAGCCGATTATATCAGCCACCTTATTTCAGGAAGAAGCCCGATTACATCAGCCACCACAGAATCATTTCAGGGCAAGTGCAAAACACACCCAATGAACTGGCTGGGGACATTTCCTTTCCTTTTCTTTACTTGTCTTCTCGTTTTTTTCATTTACATCGAGACACATGCAGTTTCTCCTTGCTGAACATAGTTACATCAGGTGACACACAAACAGACAACATTATGGGAAGTTGGCATATTGCAAGAAATCCTTATCATCCCATTATTATAGATAACAACTCATCCTCAACCTCCTGTGCAACCAAGCACATAGCCTAATCATTGCCCACCCACATGTCTGATGTCAGTGTCATGAGAGACGTCCATTGTCAAACCCGAACGACTCGTGACAGCAAGACAGATGCTGCGAACAAGAACAACAAAAACATCCCACCAACTATCCAACCTGCCCACAGGTCAGTTTCTTTTTACGGGTGCCCAAGACATCCTGATTGTTACCACACTCAGGGTCTCGCCACACGGCACACAAAACGAAAACAAAACGAGTGCATCTGCCCACGAAAGGTGGCAAAATACACTCGTTACTATTTATAGCAAATCGACGAACCTGGCCATTTTCTGCAGGAAGATGCACGCCTTTCATTCTTCGTTTCGTGTCCCATCGGCGACGCCCTCAGACTCTAAAGACTGTAAGACATGATTGCCACCCTTCTCATAGAACCAAACGAGGGTCAGGAACAAAGCGTTTCGATAATAACAAGGTAGGGGCTGCGCCTGCAGAACACTCAGAAAGAACAAGGTCACGCGGACAAGGTCGGCTCTAAACACATAGACGAGTTTCAACAACGAACCTCCATGCTGCTTTTCTAGAACAGTGAGAAAGAAAGAAAGAAAGACAGACAGAAAGAAAGAAAGAAAGAAAGAAATTAACAACAAAAGAAAGAACGAAAGAACGAAAGAAAGGAGAGAAACTTACAAAAACAACACACGAGACTTTGGAGAGAATATCATCATGAACTTAATCCATACGACCCAAAGTTGAACCAAGCAGAATCAGCAGTCTCTTATTCCTAGTGCCAAAGACATCATATCTATTGTTACCACAATCAGATTCTGAGGCATGATTGATTGTGAACCTTCCAATGGAACCAAACCCCAACCAAAAGAGACCAAGGACTAAGCAGCATTGGACCAAGCGCATTTCATTTCTGACCTGGGAAGGAAGCACGGACATGCTTCAAGAACAAACCTCCAGGCCGCAATTTTAGAGAGGCAAAAAGAAAAAAAGAAAGAAAGAAAGACATACCGACATGGAGAGAATGTCATAAACCTTGTCTATGAGACCCAAAAATGAACCAAACAAAATCCCCATTGCAGACTACAAATACAAGTAGGTCAGACCTGCGATAAAGTCGAATCCACAGACCTGCGATAAAGTCGAATCCACAGACCCGCGATAAAGTCGAATCCATCCGAGGATGTGTCCTCATTCTTGTGACCTCCTTGGATTTTTCGTGAAGCTCACCACAAGAGTTCTAAAAGCTCCCATGAAGTCCAACATCGGTCAGCAGCACAATCCCACCAGACTGTGCCTTTCAATCTAACAAAGAAAAGCCCAGCCTGTAACAGGAGCTGGCCACCCCTATAGCCAGCCAATGATTAGGCTTTCGCATTTTCCTGATGCAGCCCTTCCCCATATCAAGGCTGATAAGGACCCACCCAAACCTGTCGACACTGGCAGGCAGAGACAGTACACCACCGCACTCTTGACCATATTGTCACACTCGACAACAGAACCTTGACACCTATCATCCATGTCTCCCTGCCATAGGGCATTGAAAGCGAGCACCGGGGGGGGGAGGGGGGAGGGAGGGCTGTCTCTTATACACATCTAGATGAGGGGGGGGGTACAGAATGGTAGAAACAGACGAACCCCCAAATTGCCATAAGAGAGACGACAGGAAAAGACTAAGCTCGACATGCGTCTGAGTAGCCGTTTGTAATAAGCAGACAACATACAACCACATTCCCATCCTCCTCGCGAGACGCCACTGTATCCTCCACGCTCACAAGAACCCATACATACAACCAGGCATGCATAGGGAGGAAAACTAAACGTTGACATCAGCTGTCTTCGCCCACGCTATCCACTCCTCATCAAACAGAGAGACTGATAGGAATGGATGTTCATACCTGTTCTGTTCTAATATTCCCCCACACTCCCCTTTTCAGGCAAACAATCTACTACAACCCTGAAGAAAACAAACAAGAGCTCATGCTTCACTGCTCTGCCTGTACAATGTCAACCTCCCTCAAGAAAGCATCCGCTGCCTTAAGCCCCTGCACCTCGCCCGAGCACGCCCTCAACTTCCATCTACCGACCAGCTCTGCTCCACGATCTCCCTTACGCGCCTGTTGTACTCACGCCTGTTCTCACTGTATAGACGAGCTGCCTCGGAGTTTGCCGGTGAATTTGGATTCGGATCGCAGAGGAGGGACTGTCAAAGCGCAACCACAGCCATGCACGATCACAAACAGCACACAGGACAATTACCAACAATACCACCATAACCAACTCGTCAAATATCATCCTGACTACCGGAAATGAGGCCAATCCTCACACCCTCCCTCTTTGCCCCCCTTTCTTTTGACTTGGTTGATTGATAAGGACGACCCCGACATCTCTAAAACTGCATTGCGTTCCAACTAACAAACTGCTGCGCTCCTCGTCCATAACACATTCAGCATTACAAACCTGCATCTCGGCCATCATAACCAGTCAGTCCCCTCCAGAACGCCAAGGAGACCCAAACTGTACTACAAGAACACTTAAGCAGCAGAGCTCCAGCAAAAGGTTAAAGAGCAGGCATTCAAACAGTTAGTCCCCTCCACAATGCCAAGGAGACCCAAACTGTACTACAAGAACAATTAAGCAGCAGAGCTCCAGCGAAAGGTTAAAGAGCTGGCATTCAAACATCAACCAGAGATCCGACTTAATCCGGCTTGATCAACATTCCAAAGAGCCACCTCATCAATCAATCATGTGGAAACACGATAAGTTGAACACCAAGGACGGTAACCCACCCTAGATAGACAAGAGAGGTAGACAGCAGACAGTTAGTTATATCTCGCTCTCCATGTATCCGTCTCCCAATCCCTTCGCACTCTTACTTTGCCTGTTTTCTGTCACCCTCCCACGTCCTCTCTTTCCATTGGACCCTGCCCTCCTCCCAACTCATGCCACCCCCCTTCAAACGGATGCAGACCCATGTCGACAACGCACAATCATACCACTGGGAGAGAGACAGATCCTGACACTCACCTGAATAGAGGTCAAGATTGCAGAAACATCATAAATTGGACTCCACTGGTTCTGCAGTATATCCAAACAAATGCCGCCATCCGCATAAACTGCACACCAACATCCAACCACCAAACACCACAGAAAGAGCGCACACTATCTTGACTCTTCAATTCTGCAAAACAAACATTCACTCAGTTCTTATCCCCCCCTCCATGTCATGCAAAATGGAAAAGACAAAGAAAATTCGTCTGCTCAACTTGTGCCGGCGTCAAGAAGGTTTGGCACCGTAGGGCCAGCATAAGGAGAGGATAGGCAGCGTTGATGCTGTTGTACGGGTGGTACAAAACGAACTACAAAACGCGTCACATTCCCTACTCCACAGAACTGTGTCACCTTCGTTAAATCACCATTACACTGGACCTGACCCGCCCAAACCAACAGCCATTTTCTAGGATAGGAAGAGGCAGCTTCAGTATTTTACGACAGAAAGTCGAGAAACATTCAGGAATATTTGCTGCTTTACTACAGAGGCTCAGATAACAGCCATTTTCTAGGATACGAAGAGGCAGCTTCAGTATTTTCCGACAGAAAGTCGAGAAACATTCAGGACCATTCATTTGCTGCTTTTTTACAGAGGCTCAGATATCATTTTGCGGGCCCATTTTGCGGGCCCTTTCCCATCTGCCAGGCCTCTGTCCACCTTCTTGTATCACTACGAAAGACCTGAAGACTTTCGCAGTAGCGAGGGCTTGTCGTTTAAAACAGCCTTCAGGTCTCCTCAATTAACAACGTGTACGTAGAAAAGGCGATAGCTCACACATAGAGAAGAGGAGAAACTGCTGACGGGGATAGGTTCATAAAGGCTGCATATCCCGATTAATCTGCCAGAAGCAGCCAATTCAACAAATAACAGAGAAAAATGCAGGCAAGCCACAAAGCCACTATTCAAAGCCCCATCAATGGTTTTACCCAGATAATACAGCCATCCAGAAGTGCAACATTTCCGCCTCCCGTACAGAAACAAATGGCTCAACTGCACATCCTAACAGCTCAGAGATGCCGCAACATTTCCAAGGTCCAAACGGGGGGCATCCGAGCCTTTTTTTTCCCAATCCCGCGCACACCGCATCACTGGTTTCACCCTGATATAATAGTGACCATCACTGAAATACACACTCCACATTTTCGCCTCTCCTACAGAAACGAATGGCTCTGCTGCAGCTCAGAGATGCTGCAACATTTTTAAGGTCCAAACTGGAGGGCAAAAGCTTTTAACGTTTTAACTACTTCTGAGCCTCTTTTTTCCAATCCCGCGCACCCAGTTTTGCCAAGCCGGCGCACTCGGTAGGACAAGGCCCCAAGGACGCAGCCTGCCAACCCGCACATTTTTAGGAAACGTACGGGCCACTACAGGAGCGCCCACATTCATCCGACTAGAAACGTTTCTACTCTGTTCTTTCCCGCGGCCAATAGCTGGGCCAAGTACTTGTGGTTTAACGTTTAACTACATCTGAGAGCCTCTTTTTTCCAATCCCGCGCACCCAGTTTCGCCAAGCCGGCGCACGCGCACCAGCCTTTCCCTTTCGGTAGGACAAGGCCCCAAGGACGCAGCCTGCCAACCCGCCCGTCCGAGCAAAACAGCAGGGAAACATACTGGTGGCTTCTACCGTTCGGTAGGACAAGGCGCCAAGGACGCAGCCTGCCAACCCGCCCGTCAGAGCAAAATACCAGGCAAACATACTGGTGGCTTTTTCATGTCATAAGATTCACAAAAACAATTGGGCTTGGATAGCTGCCGAGAGTAGCAACCCTTGCGATCATTTGTTTGATCACACACCCTTCTCAGAGATGTCTGCATCTGCATGAGCAACACCGTTTCACTACCGCTGCAGAGAGGATCCCCACACTGCTGTCGCCACCCAAACGATAGCGGCAACGCGGACGTGATTATGCTTACAGTTCGCGCCCTTAGAAACCTGAACTGACGTGATTATGTAAACAGATTAAGAGTTCCAATCCAATCCTGATAGAATCAGGCGAATAACATAGTTCTGAATCCTGATAGAATCAGGCGAATAACATAGTTCTGACTTAGTTCATAGCGTTTACGTCTGCCTTTCCGTTCTCCCCAGTTCACAGACAGGTGCAAACAGATGCAACGATTGGTGTTTACGCTAAGAGAAACTAAGTGAAGATGTATGGCAGAGATCACTCACTATTTGGATGAAACATTTTCGAGACAAAGCGCACAGTGGGAGCCTTGTTCGGATAATCTTCAGTGAATTGCAGCGTCAGCTTGAAGGTACCTCCATCCCAAGGAGTGTCGTCCGGGCTGTGTGATAATTCCCACGCGTACACGCACACATACAAAGTATTACAAACGCATGTCACAACACAGACCATCACCAAACAAAGCACTCACCACAAAACACGCACAGAAAAGAAACACTAAACACTGAAAAACACCAAAATGTAGTCCGGGCAAACGCTCACAACGACGAAAATATCGAACGCCAGTATCACCGACTGATGCGTAAAAGGCAGACAACTCAAACATCTCCGCCAATCCCTTCACTCCCAAGATATAAACAGAGAGGAAGAACAGGGCTTTCATCTGCATTCTCGATGCAAACATCGGCATTCTCGAGCACACATTCGCTAAGAGCTCAAAAAACATGTCTGAAAAAGCGATGAAAGAACTCAATCTTTCATATCCCACAAGACAATACAGGAAGAGATGAAAGAAAAAGTTCATTCTTCTGTTCAACTGCGGAACTGCCGGTTTCACAGGAAAAGCGTGCACTGAATCTTTCGTTTCGTGCGCACGGTTCGGCATCGATACCCAGCCAAGGTGCCTGACTGGTGCACACATGTAAAGAACAGGTCAGGAGTTCAAGTCCTAAAGAATCCGATGGATAAGTGCTGGCCCAACATACCGCAAGATGTCATAGAGTTTAAGGATTGCACCGATGTTCTGTCAGCCGTTGAACGACTATCTCATGCACTAGATCCACAACGTCAGGGACAAGATCGTGGATATGACCGGGTCAAGAGGGACGAGCGAGAGCGGCAAAACAGCTAGGGATCTAGAAACGTAAAATGATAACGCGTGCATAAAAAGAGCATTACGTAGTTCTATCTTGTCGTCCTACAATGCCATGACCTCCCGGATGTTGCGCAACAGACCTCCTCACTGACTCCGCCATCAAAATCATCGATGTCTAGCACAAGATCGTTGGCCTCATTCAGCCTCCTCATCCCAGTGTCACTAGGCAAGATCTGGTGGTCTACCCGGACAGAATAGCCGCGCACAAAACCCTCGCGCTCCTTGAACGGGAAGAAAAGAAGAGGATACCCGACTACGCACAACTTTCAGACAAAGCGAGACTTCCCTGCAAACGAACAACCTACTGCTGCACCGACCACGAATCCTCACGTCGACCTTCACATCTCTCACACTAAGTCTAGCACCACCACCGACACCAGTCTTCACATCGCTCACACTGAATCCGGCATAATCGCCTCCTCTCGCAACAGCACATACGTATTTCCCGTGCGCGCGTGCGTGCGCGCAGTTCCAAACATCACCAGCACATGGCAGGCGCCATGAGGACACGGAGCACGAAAAAATAAGCAGAACCGGGCCGGCAGGAAGGTGGAATGAAAGAGGCTCGCACGAGCAGGATAGAAAAGGCGCCAAAATGATATGGAATGGAGGCCGACAAGGCGGGTTGTTGGGGGAGGGGCAGACGGCGTTGAGGAGGAGGCAGAAGCAGCAGAGAGAACCGGGCCGGCAGGAAGGTAGAAAGAAAGAAGCTCACGCATGCAGGATAGAAAAGGCGCCAACATGGGATAGAATGGAGGCCGACAGGGCGGGTTGTTGGCGGATGTGCGAACGGCGTTGAGGAGGCCGAAGCAGTTGAGGGCAAGGCACGGAGGAAGAGGTAGGGGGAGGTTAAGGAACAAAACATGGCGTTCGACAGACTCATATAAGGCCTCTGCTGGGAGGAGGTGAAAGAATTGAGTCATAGGTAGAAACATGAAAAGGGGATGAAAGAGAGGACACGAACGACGAAGAAGACAGCGGAGAGGGAAACGGGAAGGGAGAGGCGAGGAAAGGGCGAGACGGGCAGCGAGGGACGGAAGGAAGAGCAAACAGCGGTAGACAGGAGGCAAACACAAAAAGATGGGACGAGGAAAGACAGTAGACAGGAAGGACGCAAACAGAAATGACATCGTAAGGATGAGGGAAAAAAAAGAATAATAGAAGACGCAAGAAAGACTGCAGGATACCAAGATACATAAGAGAAAAGACAAACCGGTGGCTTTGCAAAAGGGACAAGAAAGAACCCGCGAGAAGGACGATGGGACAAAGCGATAGGAACGGCGTTATAGATCCGACGTGACAGAAGGAGCGGAGGGAAACAGGGAAGAGAAAATATCATATGAGACGAGCTGTGCGAAGAGGAGAAAGAGGCAGAGATATCGTTACAGAAGGAACGGTAGTGGGGAAAATGAGGGGGGAGGGAGATATCGTTACAGGAGGAACGGTAGGGGGGAAGAAAGGAGGGGGGAGTGGGAGGGCGGTCGAGAGACCCAAGGATGGCAGGCTGATCAAAGTAGGGTGAAAACTGGGAGAAACCGAAGTGGAACGCAGGAAGGGGTAAAGAGACGACGAAGCACAGGGACGTGGTGGGGACAGGGAAGACGAGAAAAGGGCAGAACGTCAGGAACCAGCGACAACGACACCGGTAGGAAGCAGACGGAGGGGAGGCGGCGAGACGGTTGGAGGGGGAAAGTAGGGGGACGGCAACGGCAGCGTGGAGGGGGTGGAGACGCCAGTGCGGAGGCAAGCTAGACAGCAACTCGATACAGGGAAAGAGACGACACTGGGGGGAGGAAAAGGCGGGAGACGAGGGAAAGGGCGAAATAGCAAATAAGCCATGCACGAGAGGGAGGGACGAACGCGACCGGCAAGACGGGGTGCAAAAACAGACGTGAGGTGGGGAATATAAAGCGCAGGCAGCGAAAAGCGTAAACGGTTGGAGAGGCCAGGATGGAAGCAAACGCGGTATGGAGATATATATACAGTGGGGGGGGAAACGTGGGAAGGAGGAACAATTGCGATGGGAAAAGGCAAACGGGTAAGACGCGGCAGAGAGGGACGTGGGATATGAACCAAGAGAGAGTAGCGACATGAGCGACCCTCGCGTGAGAGAGCTCTGGTGCGAGAAGCGGGGTTGAGAGAGCCGGGATAGAGAGAGAGGAGGGGGAGGGGGGGGAAGCCAGAGAGGAGCTGGAGGAGACGAAAGAAAGGAGCGGAGTCGCAGGAGACAGGCAGGGGACGGGAGAAGGGGACAGGCGAGGGGGACAGGCCACGGGGATAGCCTGGGGATGACCGGCGGGGAGGCAGGTGAGGGGAACAAACGGGGCATAGACGAGGAGAACAGGGAATGGGGATGTGGGAAAAGAGGCGTGGAAAACACTCGGGAAGAGGAGGCACAGGGACAGCGGGAAAAAGAAGCAGGGGGAGAGGCGTGGGAGACACTCGGGAAAAGGAGGCACCGGGAGAGCGGGGGAAAGAGGCAGGGGGAGAGGCGCGGGAAGGGGAGCGATGTTGGAGAGTCAAAAAGAAGGGAGAGAGGGGTAGGGGACGGAGGAAGACGAAGGGACGACGTGGAGATCAAGCCGGAAGAGACGGGACAAGGAAAGCGGAACCAAGGAAATAAGCATGAGACGAGGCCGCACAGAAAGAGGGAGGGGAGAAAGACGGAGTAGGGAAGGCTGAAGAGCAGAGTGGGTAGCGACAAAAGAGCTGCAAAAGAACTGCAGCAGTTAAGAGAGCAACCGAGTACAGACTGACATATGATACTCGAAGGCAGGAGACACGAAGTGACCTACGCGACAAGCCGAGAAAGCAGAGCCACAGACAAAACAGCCTTGGTGAAACAGAGGGAGAAAGCGAGAGGGAGGACGGGAAGAGTAGAACGGTGAGCAGGCATGAGGAAGCGAAGAGGAGTGAAGCGGAAAGGCGGACAGAGCCGAGGAGATCATGTTTGGGGAGGTCGGAAGGAAGAGACAGACAGGGACTGGGAAAGACAGTGACCGGGAACAAACGAAGCACGGGGAGAGGGAAAGGAGAAAGGGGGAGAGAGAGGGAAGATGACAGCCGTTAGAGACGAAGGGTTTGAAAAAAGACAAAGCCAGACGAAGACAGCATCCTGGACGAAAGGGAGATCAGGGAGTATGAGAAGGCCAAGAGAAACGGCGGTTCAGGGAACAATAAGGGAGATTCCGGGGCAGCGATCGGGGGAAAGAAAGGGGTCTACGGAGAGGAAGAGGCCAAGGATGAGCAGACGGAGAGGGCAAGGAGGGAGGACGGATAGGAGAGAGTACGATGGAGGACAAGCGATGGGGGGACAGAGGGGCAATAAATATAGAACGCGGGAGAGAAACAGGAAACAGACAGGCTAGCAGTGAGGCGGGACAAGCAGGCAGAGTAACAGAAGAGGCAACCAAAGGTCGGGGAGAGGATGGATAAAGGACCAAGAGAGACTGGTGGAGAGGAGGGAGAGTAGCACTATAGAGTGCTAATTGCGTGCAAGGTATACAAGGAGAGACTGAGAGAAGTACAAGTAGGAAGGAAAGCATGAAGGAAAGACAACCACTGAATAGATACCAAACCGAGTCCAATGAAAAATACTGTCTATTGAGAAGAAGACGTTAGAGAAACACAAATAAGGGAAGGAGGATGGCAAGGAAGGATAAAGAAGAGAAGGATAAAGAAGAAAGGTCACTAGGGCTTTTCACGGAAAGTCAACTCATGAATGTCAACAAACACTCGCAACCGGGCAAAAGCTACGCTTAGAAACAGTCAAAAGTCAAGACCCCAAAGGGCTAATATAAGCCTCGAGAGGGGCGCGGAGTCAATGGCAGAAACACGGGGTAAGGGAGCAGTCGCGAAGGGTATCCATACCCGAAAATTATTGCGTTCCAAAGCATAATGTTGTTGTCCTGAGGAGCCCCGCTAATTCCGGCAGGAGGATCATTCTGTAACCGCTTGAAATCCCTCATCAGCCGCTTCCTCGACGGAGTCGACATGTCGATTCTCCTGCGCTATCAATCCAGTCGCGTCGACCTCTTCTCTAGGCAAAAGCTCAACAGACACACAATTCCCACCGCACCACACCGCGGTCCCGCTGCTCAGCCACGACCACCACCTGCCACACGCACACTAGCCTCTCTCTCTCTCTCTCTCTCTCTCTCTCTCTCTCTCTCTCTCTCTCTCTCTCTCTCTCTCTCTCTGTGTNCTCTCTCTCTCTCTCTCTCTCTCTGTGTCTGTCTGTGTGTGTGTGTGTGTGTGTGTGTGTGTGTGTGTGTGTGTGTGTGTGTGTGTGTGTGTGTGCGCGCGCCTGAGTGTATGTAATTGTGCGCGCGCGTGAACGTCCCTATGTAAGCGTGCGCGCGCGTGAATGTCCCTGTGAGTGTATGTGAAGTGTGCGCGCGCGTGAATGTCTATATGCGTGTGAAAGAGTGGGTGTCCGTGAGTGCGCGCCTCTGAGTCAGACTTCGGACGACCACAACCGAGGAGTCCTGCGCTCTTCCCAGATACATCGGCTCTCTCTCGCAAAACCCGCCTCCCGCTCGCTTAATTTTGCCGAAGCGCCTTTGCACTCTTCTGGCGTTGCCTCTACTACGTGTACCGATCTTACTTCGGCGCTCGACACAACACAAGCCCGCGGCACTACCTGCAATCGGTGGAACGATTCAACTCCTACAACCCTATTACCAATTACCAACGAAGCTCCTCCCCGCGCCAGAGCGCTCGCGAGATCGCTAGCGCGGGAGCGGAACGCGGCGGAAATTCCACGCGTAACTTCACAAAGACACCAAATTAACAGAGAGGGTATTTAGTGCGTCAACGACCTTTCCATCTTCTCCGTCCCAACAGCAAGGCACAAGTTCCACACGCTCTCAAGCCAGGAGCTGTAGAGTTTCCCATCACTACCTTAGCAAGAAAAATCACCAATCATTCCAAGCTGTATAAACTACACTGATGGTCCCTTGGCCAAATCGGGTTAGAATGCTGGCAAGCATTCCACACGCCCGCGACCACCCGCGCGCAAACCACACGTTGAGCATGTCGACATTTCCCAAGACCCTCCACAGGCAAGCTGTAACTCTTTCGGCTCTCCGCCGGCCTGTCGCACTGTTCTCGAGGAAACCAAACAAGCTCTCCGCACTGTCTCGCGCGGGAGATCGGATGGATGGGAGGACACCATTGCCCGCCCGCGCGGTGTGGTGCTCTCAAAGCGCCCCAGCCGCGCAAGCGCGACGGCCAGGGACGGCCGCAGGCGCAAGCGCAGCTGAGGCCCCAGTCCTACTGTGAGAATGCCCTACCGTAGGGCAATCCACAGGTAAACCTTGCGCCCCCTCCGCCGCGCCGCGCCGCGCCGTGCCGCGCGTTGCGGCGCACGCGGACGGAGATCGACCGTCGAACAACTGAAGCAGCTGCGCCAGTCGTCAAAAAACAAAAAACAGAACCAACCAACCAACCAGCGCGTGACGGTAACACCAGTGGCAGTTGTACTATGCTGCCTGGGTTCCCGGACCGGGGCCAAGTCCCACTAGATGGTGTTCCTCATTTCTGGCCATGGATCTGCGTATTCCCGCCACAATCGGCGGTCAAGAATGAAGAACACACCCTAATGGGACCTAGACCCCGCACACCTGTAGTGCCCGCAGCTTGCCTGGACAAAGGAGGCCCTAATCACACGAGGACTTTCCTAGCTGCATGTGACCGCAAACACGACCTCGTCCTGTATGGTATGTACCCGCAATTACGTCCACAGATCACTTGATGAAAAAGTCCTACCTGCCCTCAGAGAACAGGGATGGATCCCCCCAAAGAAAAAGGAAAGTTCTCTCGTCGTCGTTCATTCACCCCTCTCTGTTGTGCCCCACTCGGATGAAAGACCCCTTGCGCAAAGGAACTGTCTTGGAAGGGAATCGCGCGGAAAGAAGACCCTGTTGAGTTAAACTTAACTCTGGTTTCACTCTGTGAAATGACTCAGGACCCCGTCGGGCTTGACTCCGTTTCCACTCTGTGAAATGACTCAGGGCAAAGTGAGTGGGAGTTTTACGGCGGAAGTGAATTACCACTTACAGACTCTCATTTCCACTCTGTGAAACGACTCCGCGAGAAGTGAATGTGAGCGGGAGTTTTTTTTTTTTTGTAGCCCACGTTGTTGTACAGGCTGGATTCTTTTTTTTTTTCTTTTTTTTTCTTTTTTTTTTTCCGCTGGATTCTAGTCTAGACGTATGACAACGTTGTTGTAATGGATGGGCCCACGTCGTTGTACTGAATTCCCACTTACAGACTCCGATTTGCTTAAATTATTGAAGGCTCTTAAACGGGTCCCCTCTCAAGAACATGCAGCACTGTCATGGTTACACAGTCCCTTCAAGCTACAGCTGCTGCTACATGGCTAATCGCTAAGGACATGAGAATATCATCCACCTGTGTTCGCTGTGGAATCTTCTGCCCACATTTGGAATCTGCTGCCCACATTTGGCTGCACGGCCCTGTCTCCTCCCAGATATCGGAATGGTGGAAAGAAAAGTGGAGGTTACAGTCAAAGCAGACTGTGGATTGGTCTGACCATTTTATTCTATATGAATTCTCCCTTCTGCACCAGGGGGTTCCTCTTGAAGGTCCTAACTATGTAGCTCTTGTCTGCAGAGGGATCATAATGAGCACTATAGATCTGGTCTGCGTGCGACGCGGAAGTCTTCGGAGGAGACAGAAGACTGGTTCATTCAACAGCTGCTAAATCAGATAAAAGTAGAGATCGCACTGACTGAATAAGAATGATGCCTACCTTACTTTGGCAAGAAGTGGGCCAAAGATGGGCACTTCGCAGAATTTTCATTGGAAGGGAAAATCCCCCCTGGCTCAGTGGCCGGTTTCCACTGGATAGCTCTACCTCTTAGCTCACCTCTTAGTGAATGCCCTGTGTTTAGCCCTGGCCAAATTTGGCCGGTGCCCGGAAGGGGTTCTACCAGAATGCTGTTGGTATTTCGTAGGATAAGAGTTTTACCTTTTGAGTAGTCTTCGCGGTAGGATTGGCTGTGCGTTGTGTGTTTCCCTTAAGGATTGTTTTCTGTCTGGAACAGAAGGTACGTTGGACCCGGTTTGCAGCACAAACCGAAGCTGGGTAATGGCCGCAGTAAAATTTCCAGGTTGTTTGCAAGGAATTCCCGGCCTCGTCTATGGTTTCAAAATGAAAGACTACAATTCTTCCACCCCCAAAAAAGGAGGTGAATTACCACTGCTTTGCTATTGAAACTTGAAAGAAGAAAAGGACTGTCATTTCATGCGGATGCTCGGTGAACTGAGAAATGTAGCAACCCGCACAGCAACAGAATCCATAACCTGGTTATGAGCATGCTACCTATAGGATACCCCGGTGCACAAGAACTGGGTGGGACCGTAGATCGCAGAGATCGACGGTCAGAGATGAAGTGTCAGCATACGTTCAACTCACCACGTGGGACTCAGGCCTGGACCCCACAGGACAAAATCGTGGAAAAGACATGGAAAAGACGGCCTGGAAATACTTTTCCGAGACACCATTGGATGAAAGAGGTCGTTTGGGGAACCGATTTTCGGAGGTGGGGGCGGTTTTCCGGGGCCCAACCGCCTGGAAAACACACTCTGGAAAACTGCACTTTTTCCGGTTGGAAAAATGGCTCCGGAGGACTTTCCGCCGGAATTTTGTGTCATTTCCAGAGGGTAGGGGGGGGGGGCATGTCCTTGGTTGGAAACTCCTCGCCAAACTGCTGGTCCATCGATGGTCCGAGCCGAGACGTCCCGTGGCTCAATGGCAACGGATACAGACATGCTCTTGTCACTCGCCACCCAGGACCGGACATCCGAAACAGGTGTGCTGCCCTTCGAACGGGCATCCGCAACCACGTACTGGTCCCTCTCAAGTTTCCGGCCTTCCCGAGCTCAGAAAAACTGCCTTTTCCATCCTCTGCGGTGGGGTCCCACTCTTCCAACCACTCTTCCACAGAATTCCCAAACGTGTCAGGGACTGGAGCTCGTAATACACCATACAGCAAGATGCCCGATGATTTTGAGAGTGTGATTTAACGTAACAAAGCCAAGTGGAAGATACTTTCTACCTTTCTCTCTGGGAAGGAAAGTGCGATTTACCTTAACAGAGTCAAGTGGAAGATATTTTTTACCTTTCTCTATGGAAGGATTTGAACTTATGAGTTGTTCATGTGTGTACCATTCAGCCACATTGGATGTGTGTGGCAGGTACCTCTTTGGCCCTAAGGGCAGTAAGATATATCCAGGAAAGACCTGGTCTGAATATCTATGCATTCAGATGGGGGGCAATGTCTCGTGACGATTTCGGATGGTCACACATTGCCTACCCATCACCCTTTCCCCCCCTGTTTCAGTTCTCTCCGTTTGGTGTGCCCGCGAGTGGGTTGGCACATAGCTTTGGTGGGCAGGTGTGAGTGATGTCTGTGACAACCACCACCCATTACATTTCAGGTGTGTGAATACCCTGAACTCTAAATTCAAAGTGAAAATGAATGTGTGTAACAAGTGGCTACACGGCTAACTACGTTATGACCACGTTCATTGTCAATGACGCCGTAAAAGCAGACTGCGGGTCAGATTGAATAGGTACTATGCCTAGTTCCTACCCCCTTGCTGAGAGACACTGTGGTTCAACATTCGTTGGACACGTAAAGATGCTAGGTGCAATTTCCACCCAACCACTCAGGGCGTTTTGTTATGCAGTACACGTGGTACTCACTGAGCAACTTACTCAGTCGCAGCCCCAAGGTGGTGTGAATTTCCGGAGCAGCCAGCCGCCGGAAAAAGAATTTCCGGAGCAGCCAACCGCCGGAAAAAGAAATGGGTTTGAGAAGGTCTTCTGGTTGCACAGGACTGGTCCTTCAAGTTAGGGCAGGACAGATGACCCACAGCTATTGCTTGCAAAACCAGTACCTCCGGACCGGTCCTACGTCTGACTGGAGGTCCAGAAAAGAGTCCACAGTCTTTGAAGCAAGGGATTTGTTTAGGCTGCCCATGACAGTGGCTAGTAGGCTTGTCCAGGGGTGGCTAGCGGCTTGTTGCAAAATTCTGATTGTGCCGATTTTGGGATTTTTTTGTGATCAGAATAATTATTGAAAACAATCGTGAAAAACTCAGGAACATAAATCGAGTACTGATCTTTCACAGAAAATAAATAAATAAATAAAATAACATCTTCATGGGAACAGAAAATGATGGTGGTGAAAGAGTTGGCTGATCCACCACTCGGGTCTGGTCCCCCACTCAGGGCACACATGGAGGGCCCACAGGTCTGGTCCCCCGCTCAAGGCACACGTGAAGGAGTGAGCCCAAGCAGGTGCACCTGAAGCTGAAAAGTGGGCCCAACGACCCTTCAGATCTGGGAATGCTGGGAATTGTTATGCCTCTTCACCCTAACCGGGCGCCAGATAAGCCATTGCACCTAGCAGTATTAACACTCCCAACCTGCTTATCAGGAGCTGGGACTGGATTCCACAGATAAACGCAATACTGAGATACAGTTGATCACTCAAGCACAAACCATGAGCCAGGAACTAAGGCCAGCTTTGGTGAAGGAAAAGGATCAGGAAAATCAGATAGGGGGCTGAGGGGAATGTAGGGATCAATGTTGCTCCAATCATTAAAGTATAAGTGGTAATTCCTTGGGAGCTCACCGTGAGCAATCTCGCACACTCCATTCCATTTAACCTGCCCTATTTTACCACCTTGTTCCCCTCCAAGCCAGTTTTGATTGAAAGTTTTTATGTGTTGTTTGATTTCCTTTTCTGCTGTCAAAGGTTTAAGTTTTTCTTTTAATGTTTCCTATCTAGAGTTAATCTCTAGTTGGATTTGTTGCTTGATGGTATTCGTGAACTCAGGCCCATCTAGACGGGCATCTTCCATTTCAAATGTGCACCTGCAAGACCATATGGCCCAGATAACAGCTCTTCTCCCAATCGTGAATAGGTTAGTTGTGAAGCTATCTTCACAT